GAGGAGGAGGAAGAGAGGAGGAGGAGAGAGGAGGAGGAGGGGAGGAGAAGGAAGAGAGGAGGAGAAGGAAGAGAGGAGGAGGAGAGAGGAGGAGAGGAGGAGAAGGAAGAGAGGAGGAGGAGAGAGGAGGAGAGGAGGAGGAGGAGGAGAGGAGGAGGAGAGAGGAGGAGAGGAGGAGAAAGAGGACAGGAAGGGGAGGAGAAGAAGAGGAGAGAGGAGGAGAAGGAAGAGGAGAGGAGGAGAAGGAAGAGAGGAGGAGGAGGGGAGGAGAAAGAGAAGGAGAGGAAGAGGAGGGGAGGAGAGGAGGAGGAGAGAGGAGGAGGAGGAGAAGGAAGAGAGGAGGAGGAGGGGAGGAGGAGGAGGAGGGGAGGAGAAAGAGGAGAGGAAGGGGAGGGGAGAAGAGGAGGAGGAGAGAGGAGGAGGAGAGAGGAGGAGTAGGAGGGGGGGAGGAAGAGGAGGAGAAGGAAGAGAGGAGGAGGAGAGGAGGAGAAAGAGGAGAGGGGGAGGAGAAGATGAGGAGACGAAGTGAGGAGGAGAGGAAGAGGAGAGAAAGAGGAGAGGAGGAGAAGGAAGAGGAGGAGGGGAGGAGAAGAAGAGGAGAGGAGGAGAAGGAAGAGAGGAGGAGGAGGGGAGGAGAAAGAGGAGAGGAAGGGGAGGGGAGGAGACGAAGTGGGGAGGAGAGGAAGAGGAGAAGAGAAAGAGGAGAGGGGGAGGAGAAGATGAGGAGAGGAGGAGAGAAAGAGGAGAGGGGGAGGAGAAGATGAGGAGAGGAAGAGGAGGAGAGAAAGAGGAGGAGAGAAAGAGGAGAGGGGGAGGAGAAGAGGAGGAGAGGAAGAGGAGGAGAGAAAGAGGAGGAGAGAAAGAGGAGAGGGGGAGGAGAAGAGGAGGAGAGGAAGAGGAGAGAAAGAGGAGAGGGCATCAGCGAGTCTTTCATGCGTCCTCGTTATATCTGAATGAGCTCGTCAGTTTAAAATCCTGACGTCTGGTGTTTCCACGTTCTCTGTGCCAGTAGAAGCTGTAACTTCTGTATTTAAAATAAGTTCTTCTCAGTCTTTGGACTTTAACCAGTAAAGCTTCCAGATTTGATTTTGGAGATTGTAACTTTGTCTGAAATGTAATGAACTGTGAGAACTGAAGCTGCAGCAAACAGGTCAGAATAATGTTAAAGGTCTGATCTCAGGTCAGACGGATTCAGGACTTGATGAAGTGCTTTTCTGTGTATTTAATGTTTTGTAACTTGACGTCTCCTCGTTTCAGACGTTTCAATGGTTCAGTTGAAAAGAAAACAGAGTTTTTGTTTCAAACTTTATTGAACTGGTTCTTCAATCAAAAACATACAGCAGAAGAAGTTTCACATTAAAGAAGCGGATGGCAGTGATCGTTTCCATGACAACCACTCAAGTGATATGGCAACCAGAGGAGTGACTGTTTCATTTCGTCTGGCAAGGGTTTGGTTGCCAGGCAACAGAGGAGCGAGCTGTGCTGATTGGCTGGCAGGAGGTTGGTGCCCCTCAGTAGGGTTGTCTCTTGATAAAACTGGTGAACATGGCGAAAGCAGCGATTGGTTTATCCGATGGAACCATGTGACCAGAGCCCTGCAGGAGGATGGGGGTCAAAGGTCAGAATCCAGGGGAGTAAATAAAGTGGTCAGTGAGGGTCAGCTGATGATGGCGGCAGCGTTTACCTTGACTGTGAGGAAGGTGATGTTTTCAAACTCTTTGACGAAACCTCCGACCTGTCGACCGTCTTCATCGTTATAGAACCATGGACGCCTCTGAACCATCACCTGAGACACGCACGCGACATTAATACACCGGAGACGCAATACACGAAGACAGAAAAAAAAAAAAAGCATCTTCTTGGTATCAAACGAGAACGACAGTAAAAAGCAGCAGGTCAATGTTTTCATTTCTTTTCGCTCACGGCTTGAAAATAACTAATAAACAGTTCAACTAAACTTTGACTTTGATCTTGAACAGATTGTGACAGAAACCTTTTGTAAATGATGTCATTGTTCGGGTCACGCACATTAAACAACGTTCTGTCGACAACTTGTTTCCTTCCGTCTGACACACACACACACACACACACACACA